TTAATACTGGGTCACATGGGTCACATAGGCTTCATTGTAGCCCAGCACAATTTTACCAGTTACTGCATTTTTTTTGAATCAGATAAAAACATATACATTGGTATTATTGAGAATAAATCAGGTTATTAACAAATCAAATTACTTTCTACAACCATTTTTGACGAGCTAGACAAAACCAGGCAGCTAGCTTGTTCTGTTTATACATTTACTAGTTACAGAAGTGGATATGCATGTAACCTTCAGTCAGAGATGAGCCAGAGAGCAAAGTTCCTCATTAACTCAATTAGGAAAAAAACAAACCAAACCCAAAACAAAGCAAAAAACCAGCCCCCACCCCCCAGAAAAAAAAAACAAAACAAAAAAAAACCAAAAAACCAAAAACCCCTGAAAAAAACCCCAAAATAAATGAAGAAAGGAAGTACAAAACTGACTCCTACTGAATTCTCAAAGTCAGGTCATTTAAAAAAATATACAATGAATAATATCCAAGTACAACTGTCATTTAAAAAATCACTCTGCTTAAAAAGCACAAATTGAAGTTAGGGATGTCATCATAATAACTCAAAATGTGAAGTATTTTCACAGCATACATAGCAAAGCTGTCATCTAGAACTCTACTCACAAACTCAAGCAAAATACAAAAACCATGAAGTTGTAATAAATTGTTAGAAACCTTTTGCGTAGTGTCAGAGAAAGGACTGTTCTGCAAAAAAGAAGCAAAGAAAGAATGTACTTGGTTTAGCCATTTTTCACGAAGTTATGTGTAAAAAAATGACATATATTTTTATTTTATTCCAAAGAGAAAAAATACCATTACTTTTTGAGTGCTATAGCCTATGTGGCTTTTTACACAGTCATGCTTCAACAAGCAATAAAATTCACAGTACAAACATCCAATAGGTGCAGTAGGAAAAACAATCTCTCACGTTTCTGCCCAGTATGTCTTAAAGAAGCCTACTGCATCTCTGTCTCAGGACGAATACACTTAATATACACTAACTTCACTAAAATTACTCCATAACTGGGGGTATTTCAGTGCTTCTACTGCACACAAATGCTTAATAAAATAAATGATGTTATAAAGCATTTTCTAACCTTATCTTGCAAATTTAAATGTTCAAGACAAAGACGTTTTAGTTGTGATATACAATGGCTTAAATTCTGAAGGGTATACAGAAACTAGCCAAAATTTAGAGACATCCAGTCATTAAATACCTTTGTGTCTGGGCATCTAAAATTCAGCACACAGACAGGTAAGGTGCGGTCAGTGATCATCACGATCTTTCTGGGCTGAAATCTCCAATATATTTTCTGACATTCACAGCAGTAGCTCAGATCTTAGTTTATCTTCTTATAAATTCTTCAACACAGAAATGAAGAGCATTTAACATTTTTAGAAACAGCAGCTATTCCTTTTGTCCCTTTTCTCAATTGTTTTTTGCTATTCAAGAAGGCCAAGAAAAGTTAAGCACACAATTAAAATAAAATCCTGTCAGCCAAAGCTAAAAACTACTGAAATACCAAATCTGATCAAGCTGCCAGAGTCAGTGTTCTTCACATTGACATTTCTCCTGTCATATAACAACACAGTTAATTTCAAACTTGCACAGAACCAGCTTTAGCTCTGCTCATACAGTGACAGAAAAATGATGTGACAGCCCCAAAGAAAGCATTGAAGGCCTGAAACTAAGCAAAATTATTCCATGTACAGTGTGACCTTTTCTCTACCAAAATACATAGAACCTTGCTTAATAAGCGGCTTTTTTTTTTTTTTAATAATGTTGGTGGGTGAAGGTAAGGACATAGAGAAGTGAGGGCCATTGTCAAACCCATTTTTTCCCTGTCAAAAACCTTGCCCACCCAATATGAAAAGGAAAACTTTGACAGAGGAACTGGCTGATACAGTGACTGATGCTGAAATAACTACCATTAGGAGCTCCTAAATGAAAGGAGGAGATGGAAGGAAAAGTGTGAACAGATTAAACTTACCTGCACATAAAGCAGCAGCAGAACAAAAATTAGAGTGATTTAATTACCTGTTAAGAAATGGATCAGTAAAATCCATGCAGCTCTAGACTAACTAGAGCTATACCAATATCAATATTACTCTTTGTCTGCAAGTTTATTTCAGAAAATTTACTGCAACTGGTGAGACCTGAAAGTTTTGGATAGAAACAGGCAACTCAAGAAGTATATGTGAAGGGGAAAAAAAAATACCACAGAATTCCTCCCTCACCAATTTCAACAGAATTTTAAAAAAATAATGATTAGTAATAGATCATAAAAGATCAAACACATGTGAACGAGGGCAAAAAAATTACTGAGCTTGTGTCATTGTCTCTGGGTAAAAATTTTTAACACATTTTTTTGACTGTAAATAATACTGAAAACTACTGGGTAAAAATTTCTTTGTCACATTTTTGTTGACTGTAAATATAATATTATCTATAATATTGACTATTAAATATATTCACCTGTAAGGGAGAGAGAAGGCACATCAGCCATTGTGGTAGGTAACATAAATCAAAACAGTAACAAAAAAACCACACAAATACTTGCACATTGTCAAACTGAACTGCAAAATATAGTTCAAGGAATTTTCTCCTATATAATTAATTCTGTGATAAAAAGGAAATAGCTATTTAAAAACAAGTACAAAAACCCTTTCCCTTTCTCTGATACAGAGTATGAATCTTGCCACATGTGATTTCTATGGTTTTCTTCAGTTGTAACATGACTTTAATTGCCTAAATGACTTGCTGCAATTTTGTCCCCTTTGTTTACCCTGTGGACTTAAGTATTGTGGCAAATGCTTTGATGTAAGACTCTCCGCAAAATCTTGAAAGGAAAGAGAAGTGAGTAGAATGAAATATGAGGATCCTTCCCCATTAGATCACTGTTCCCACACTTGGATAAGGATTACCATAGTGATTCCACACAGTTGATTTCTGGTGAATTACCTCAATTCTGTTCAGAACAGAACACAGCTGTATGTCATCACATGGCAGTGAGAAGTATCAGACTTTAAAGAACACAGCTGTACTAACAGCAGTGCATACTTTACAGAACATGCTGCAAAATAAATAAATATTGCACAGAGAAAGATAACCTCAAACTAAAATCTTAAAGACATTTAAGTCTGGGCATTCTTCATTAAAGGAAAGAACCTTGCCCAATGAGGTCATTATCCATCAGAAAATCTCCATCTGTACATAGTTATTTCTGATAAATAATATTAAGCTTCATTAGAGAGGTAGTGGGGATGTGGAAACAGGCAGAGCTGTAAATAAATCTCTCCACTGCATTTCACTTAAAAACATCCCAGCAGGAAGTCATAAAGAGAGTTTTTTTTAATAGGCAATGTTTTCAAATGCTCTTCAGGCAGTACTGCTTATATCCATCATGTTCAGTGTATGCTCACAACCTCCCAGCAATTCAGGAAGAAGGACACTATTTAATTTCTTTCCAATTCCTGTAATCACCTTCCCACTTACCAAATCTTTCTCAGTCACAATAGGAACACTATGTTGTAAACCAGTTTCATTTCTACCTGAACAAATTTTCAGAAAAGCTGACCTAGTAAACACTACAGAAGCACCCTATGACACTGGCTAGCAATCGAGCAAGGTGCTCTAAGTCCCCTGCATTGTGAATACCCAAATGTGTTGGTGAAGCATAATATGTTTTCCTGAATTCCCCAGAAAGCTTGTTTTAAGGCCTTGTTTTTACTGCAGGCTAAAATTTTCCCTGCAGAAGCACTGAACAGAAGGACAACATGGAAGGGTAGTCAGCACCAACTGTGTACCCAAAGCAGAGACATGAGTTACACAGCAAAATTAGTCTTACGACAAGAACTCGTCACATTTGAGCACTTGTATTTCTGACAGTATTCTCAAATATGGATAGGTAACAGCTTCACAGTTTAGAAGTTTTACTTTAGTTAGTCTAATAAACCACCACAATCCCAAAATTACATTTTATGCTTTGTCCACAGCCAAACTGCATAATGAAAAACTCTTCATACCTATAAACAGAATACTTGGACAACTCAGCAAAACCACCCTAAGCAAAGACTTAACACAACTGAAAGCAAGATGTTTTAGTCCTAGTGCCTTGTCAACATTGTTATTTCTAGCAGTTGCCTAAATGTTCCAGAAGAACCAGAGTAGCCATTGTAGATTTCCTACAGAAAAACAAGCATTTTCTTGCAATGTGCTGATGTATTCAGTAGCCACAACCTAAAGTAATCTCAGCTCAAGGGGTTTTCTCTCCATAATTAATTATTATCTCTCCACAATTTAATTATTAAAATTAAATAAACCTTCTAAAATAAATCTAAAACTAGAGAAAAATGAAGCTACAAATTACACACTGGAGCTTAGGTTGTAGAATGCAGATTTTACAACTCAATATATCAGATGCAAGATGAACTTTATACAGAGGTTAAGAATAATTTAAAAGTCAGTTTTATCTCACTGTGTTTGCTAGGCATTCTAACTTACCTTCAGAGAGAATTTTTGCTTGACAGTTCAATAAAGACAAAGGATAGGTCTTGAAAGAATAGATAAATTACCACATGAAGCAAGTTATTTGCAAGTATCAGTCTAGACAACATGCATTACAATCAAGTGTTATGTGCAACTACAGTAATTAAAACCCAACATGTTTAAAGTCAGATTTCACAAGCTACTAGTGTTGATGCTAGAATATACATATGAATTTATCATTAATGTGAGGAGTTTCTCACAATTAAATTCTTTCCCACACATCAAATGGCTTACATATACATGAAATATATCAAATGTAAAGTTAGCTAAAAACTCTGTTTGTTCTTCAGTTAAATCCATCAATGTCTATTTTGTAAATAGCTTCTAACCTTCCCCTTCACCCCAAAATCCAGGCGATTAACTTCCAGAGGAAGTCAGTAAAAGATAAACCTAAGAACAAAGCAAAATGTTTGTTATGCCTCCTTTGCTTTCACTTAGGACTCATGCACTTACATTCCTCTTTGCTCGGTGAAGTTACATTCAGTTCTGTCAAAAGTTGCTGGTTGGAGTTAGCGGCCTGCATGGTTAGAGAGGTATTGCTGTTGTCACTGTTCGTTTCCCCAGAGAACAAATCTGACTGGCTGTTGCTTGTGCTGGGAGTAGAGTCATCGTCTGGCTGTTTCTTCTGGAAATCTATCAAAACCAAGATTTAATATGTCATACCACTTGCTCAGTCTAATCACCAAATTACATGCAAAAACCCCTATGCAACAAAAATAAGCTCAAAACATTGCCAGAGGTATCATCACTTTGATAAACTCAAACAGTGGTCTTCAAATTTTTAAAGTGACTTAAAAGTTGTTTGTTGGAGAAAATACGTTTTCAAAATTATACAAAGGTCTTGTTTCCCCAGCGATCCAAGAGCATTTAAAGCTTACCACAGCACAAGGTATCATTTTTTAAAGGGTTTACACAAAGCATGTACAGAAACATAAAGGGAGCAGACATCCAGTAAGAGAAGAACCAAAGTATGTAGTACAGTGTTATAAGAATGTTGCACTTTTCACTGCTATTATACAAAATTCCATCAGCAACAATTTTGGCAAAGCCAGTGTACACAGCTACGGTGCCAGGTTAGCATGGAGAGCTGGTGAGGGATTGCTTCTGCATCACTGGTTTGATGGGCATTTGGGAGGGAATGTCTGGGAGCTGGTGGGGAGAAGGTTGGGGCATTTCCTCCTTCCTTCACTTTCCAACACTGGCACTAAAAGTTGCTAACTGATCTAAGAGCAGAAAGTTAGGTATGGAAGGTAAATCACTAAAATACACTGAAGATTTGTGCAAACAATTGGCTTCAAAGTTCTCTTTTTTTATGAGCAAATGCCAAGTAACACTTGTCTCCCAACTGCCTCCATAGTCCAAATCCCATGTGTTTGTCAAATGTCACCCTCTGGCTTACCTTGCCTCCAAACCAGATTTGGGTTTGAGGGGAAATATTTTCAAGTGCAAATTCCCCACTGAACGCTTCTTCCCAAATCTGCTGTCCTGGTATATGGTTGTTTATAGCATTAGTCTACCAGCTACACTACTGGATTTCAGTCTGGCACACTCTGGGAAGCATACCTGCCAACAAAGTGAATTTTGGTTTGCATAGAATCTAGTTCTCTCATCTCTTCCTTGTAAAGAGACAGCTGAAGTGCACCATCACTTGGTATCTAAGTACATTTTTTCTAAATTACATACAAGGGTAGAATTTATTCAATACATAATACATAGATAAATCAATATTTCATTGCTTATTATTATGTCATGACAGAAGAAAACAGAGCAGTCTATAAATATTTGCAGATGATGATGTGTTAGAAACACAGGTTGCCAACATGACTCACTGGGATTGGGAAGCACTACAGTCAAGCAGTCCCTAAATGTTGATTTACGATTTAAGTGATTTGCCAGAAAATAAGCCTAACTTCTGCTGTGGAAGAGTCAGCCAGAAGTCCAGACAGGAGAGGAGCAGGCTCAAAGCCAGGGAGGAGGAGGGGGAGGATAAGGAAGGAGAAGGTGGCAGACAGGAAATCATCCACCTCTACAATAGAGCTCTAGAAAACCAGTGGGAAGCTTTTTGTCAAGAATGAGTTACAGAACTCAGGAAGACGTTCTACTCAGGCCTCACTAGGTATCAACAAAGTTTAACCCAAACTGGGCTTCTGGATTTTATCTGTATGTTTCTGAAATCAAGAAGGCTTCAGACACTTTTCTGCTTCAGCCACAATGAGGCAGCTGTGGCAATTTTAACAGTTCAGAGCTGCTGCAGCAGCAAAATCCACCATGGCAGTGAAACACTCTGCCACCGTTAACCCATGACCCTCTGTTCAGAAGTAACTTTTACTCAGACTACAAATCAATTAACTTTCAAAAAGGTTTTAGCCTGCTCAGTTGAGTGGAACCCAAGAACACCTCCCACCCCTTCTTTATTACAGAAAAGAGTACTTGAGAAAAGCCTTAAGACTGATGATCCCAAGCACCTCAAACACAAGAACTGTAACTGAAGCTTGCCTTTGTATTTTGTCCATGTATTGGGGAGTATTTGGCTTCTGTAAACCAGGACTCTCATTAACACAAATAACTTGCAGATCACCTTGCTCTTCCTTCAAGTACCATAAAAGCCGGCAGTATTTCCAGGAGAGCTGAGCCTGAATAAATCCAGTTAAGCTTTAACTGCTTAACAAATAAAACAAAAATACACACATGATACAGGGAAGACCCTGGCAAGTTTTGAAAGGTAAGCTTTATTCTGATTAAAATCAGAATGCAATTCTGTTGACAGAACAATGACCTCACCTAATAATCTCAACAAGGAAAAACCAGAACAAGAGTTGGCAAGACATTAATCACCATCTACAGAAGTTTCTATTTAATTAGAAAGGCATGAGAAACACTTTAATTTAATTTTTAAAAAAGTTTTCCTGAGACTTTTACTATACTAGCAAAATCTGTGCCAAAATGCACAAGGGTGACCGAAAGACCATGAAACCTGCACTGCCCATTCCTAGTTAATGAAATGCATCTTTGCAATTTTTAATACAAGCCTTCTCCATTTGTTACAAAATAAGTTTTCTTTTTCCTCTCAAAATTGTCTCCCTTTCTCCACGGCCTTCAGGTTTGGTGGGTTTGGTTTCTGGGGCTTTTTCAGGTGGCTGTGGTGGGTTTTTTTTGTTAAACTGTAAAGTATCCTGTTGTTAACAATATGGTGAAGTCAGCATCAAAATAAGACAAGAAAATTTGCTCTTTCCTGCAAATATGGGGAAATAGTAGATGGAAAAATCTATCAATAAAATGCATGTAAGGCATTCAATAAACTATTACTACTTGGTAAAGAAAATGCTAAAAATAAGCAGCTATCAGCTACTTCAAGCTCCAAAATCCTTTTGCTTCGTTGAGTCCAAGAGTTACACACCCAGTATCTCAAATAGTTGAGCAAGAACAGAATATCTCAGAGCTCTCATGCACTGGGAATTAATACTAAGAGTATTATTTTTGTTTTGTTGCTTAGTATTTCTTTGTAAACAAAACAATGACTATGTGAATGGACAGACATGATTCAAACATTTGATATTCTATATATACAACGAATTCTAATAGTTTAGACTAAAGGAAGGCAAGAAGCTGCATTCATTTCCAGACTTCAGGTAAGACCTTCTTTTGCAAGACAATGTTTTGCCCATTTTTATCAATAAGATAACATTAATAGTGAAAGCCATTGCTTTTACAGCTTGTGATTCTAGCCCATAAAACTGGAGTTGCCACACAAAATCACACCTTCTGCACAGCCCTAAAACTTTCAAGCTCATTTGTCACGTTACTGTTACCAGGTTACTGTGAGCAACCTGCAAGACCCCATCTTCCCAGCATGTTCATTTCATCCATTGCCTCAAGAACAAATATTTAGGACATCCAACCCCTTCCACCACCTAAAATACTTGATTCTGTGACAGAAGAGACCAGACAGTCCCATTTCCAGTACCTAGCCTTCTTCAGCCATCAATATCCAACAAAGTACCTAATAAAATCTTGAGTTCTCAACTTTTGCTTAACTAAAGGCTCTGTGACTAAGCAGGAAATGACCCTTCACAGCTTCTGGTAACTGCTGTGATTATAATCAGTTAAAATCTAAGATAATTGTAAGTATCAACATTATCAGCATATCACAAAGCCTTTCTTCTGAAAAAGGCAGGCATGTCAAAGTATTACATGAAATGACTCAACACTAAGCCAGACTATTTCTTCATCTGCACTCCTGCTATGGCATAAGAAACCATGTCATCTCCAAAAATCTCCTTTTGGGTTATTTTGAGAGTCTAAGTTGCAAACAATTCCTATTCTCTGACCTGTAACAGATGTTTCATTAAAAAGTTTATTCAAATATGTTATAGAAGAGTTGTCAGAGTAAACAGCATGCTAAGGGGAGAAAATCAGAGTCTTTAAAATAATTATTTTAACTGATAGGAAATATTACACTTCCTTACTCTTCAATTCTGCAGTTCCCATAACATAGAAATGTGAACTAGCAAAAAGGTTATTTGAAGAGTGCTAGCTTCTTACACTGCATTAAATCCACAATCGACGTTTTTATCCCCAGAGCAACTTGTTCTTTTACAGAACATAAATTAATGTGTTAGTATAACATCAAATGTCTCCAGTCCCTTAGCATCCCAATGCACACAACAGACTAGTTACTTAGAAAACAATTCCACAATTTAAAAAACTGCTTTCTGAGAGTACTCTATGGGAAGTAACAAATGTTATGACATTGAAACTGCTATTGTGAAATCTTTAAGTTAGGGTCTTTTCTTTTCTTTTCTTTTCTTTTCTTTTCTTTTCTTTTCTTTTCTTTTCTTTTCTTTTCTTTTCTTTTCTTTTCTTTTCTTTTCTTTTCTTTNTCTTTTCTTTTCTTTTCTTTTCTTTTCTTTTCTTTTCTTTTTCTTTTCTTTTCTTTTCTTTTCTTTTCTTTTCTTTTCTTTTTTTTCTTTTCTTTCCTTTTCTTTTCTTTTCTTTTCTTTTTTCACAGAACTGAGAACAGAGAAACTGTTCATATATAGCCAGGGAATAGTACTGAAAGGCCCAAAGATTTTATTTACCTATTGAGAACTTTTCCCTAACTTCTCTGGTTCACAGCTTACTGAAGGCATTTCAAGTGCCATTCATATGTAACTACTTTTTTGCACAATAAATTAAGCTGAGATGGATAAAACCTTCACTTTCAGTACATATTGAATGAAGTACAATAATGGTCTGGCAATGGTCTGGTCTCTCCACTTGGAAAGAGAAGTTTTAGCATTTTTCTTTTTAAATAACATGCAGACATAAAGATGCATTAGCCCACTTGGAGAATAAACACAGATATCTGGCTATTAGGGGAATGCATCATAGAATACACACAAGCATTTGCATTAACAGGTGACAAACAAAGTCATAAAAAGGAATCACAGGTACGTATTAATTATAGTAAATTATATTTATAAATATATACATAAAATATATTTGACTGCAAAGTACAATATTACAATTGCAGTATATTCTTATATGAGCTATTAGCAGATCTCGTTTTCACAGTACGAAGTACTGAAAGAATAAAACAGTAAAAATAATAGAAAGTTGATTTTCTGTAAAACTAATTTATTTAGAGTTATGAG